AGTGTTTCCTCTTGGCCTGGGAGAAGCTGGGGGTGTGGAAGGGGTGTTCGCTTGGCTCCCTCCTCCCAACCTGAAAATCTCCCGGAAAAACCACTCGTGGCCTTTGCTCTTCCAGGACACCTGTGCTCTCTGAGCACCTGAGGTTAGGCACCAGCCGCCTTCCGCCTTTCTTGAACACGCACACATGCACCAGGCCCCTGAGCTGTGGACCGAGTTGTGCAATGCGCATTGACCCGCCTGAGAGCCCAGGCTGGGCTGATGAGGGCAAAGTCCCCCCCCCCCCCCGCTTGGTGAGGGATCCAAAGATTACATGCAAACCTTTGGTCTCTTATCCAAGCCGTTTGCATGGGACGTTCTCCTGGATCCCCTCTTGGGCCTTGTTCCACTGCTCTCAGAGAATAATACAGTTGTAGAGTCCAAAGGGAGCCAAAGCATCATCTAGTCCAAATCCCAGGAATGCAGGAAGGAATCACAGCTGGTGTGGGTTTGGGGGTGCTGCCCCTATCATGACTCCTCTCACAAATGGCTTCTCCTCTTCCCCCCCCCCCCGGCTGTCTCAGCAAGAACCCCATTTAGGCTCATTCAACCAGTGTGAGTCCAGGTTGTGCTTCCCTTTCTGGGAAGATGTTTCTGACCGGAGACACTTTTAACCCTTTCCTCTCTGCCAGAGACGTGGGTGGCGCTGTGGGTTAAACCACAGAGCCTAGGACTTGCCGATCAGAAGGTCGGCGGTTCGAATCCCCGTGACGGGGTGAGCTCCCATTGCTCGATCCCAGTTCCTGCCCACCTAGCAGTCCAAAAGCACGCCAGTGCAAGTAGATAAATAGGTACCGCTCCGGCGGGAAGATAAATGGCGTTTCCGTGCGCTGCTCTGGTTCGCCAGAAGTGGCTTAGTCATGCTGGCCACATGACCCGGAAGCTGTATGCCGGCTCCCTCGGCCAGTAAAGCAAGATGAGCGCCGCAACCCCAGAGTCGGTCACAACTGGACCTAATGGTCAGGGGTCCCTTTACCTTTACCTCTGCCAGAGCTGGGGTACTTTGCATAGCTGGGCACTTACTGGCTGACTGTTTCAGCCTCCCACCCTGCCCACTGCAGCAGCCCCTTCCTCCCAGGGCTGCCTCTTGCTTTTGCAACACATCTCCCCACCACGACCACCCGAGTCCATGGGGACCCGCCCCCTTCCCAGGCTGCTGCTGCTGCTACCCAACCGCCCCTCTGAATCTGGCCATGCCAACGCTCCGTGGCTGCCACCCTCCCGTTCTGGTTGCCTGGGGCTGCCCCTGAGCTGATGGTGAAGAGCCCAAGAGCCCCATTCCATCCCTGCTCTGGATTAGTCCCAGGAACAAAGGAAAACACAAGGAAGCAAAGCAGAAGGAAGCCTCCGGCTGCCGAAGGGGAACAGCGAGAACAAGCTCGACTCCTCTGCCCGTGTTTTGGATGTCAGTAGCATCAGGATCTGGCTGCGCGCTCAGTCCGCCCACCCAGCCTGCGGTTTTATAACCTGGTCCACCTGCTGGAACTATCCTGTTTCGGATTAGACGCGAGACAGAGCCGACCTGCCCTTGAACTTACCTGATCCCAGTAAAACAAGGCTGCAGAAGACGACGAGGGAGAAGGAGGCTCTCCTGCAAATCGGAATCATACTTTGCTTGGGGCGTTTTATCTCCCCCTCACGCTGTCCTCCCGGGTGGGGAGGCTCTTTGCAGATCTTTCCCTCGGGAGGGAGAAGAGATCCGAGCAGCTCAAAGTTTCTTGAGGAAATGTTTACAGGAGGGAAGACGCGGCAGCGGGTCACATTCCTTCGCGCTGCCAGGCACGCCTCCCTCTTGCCCAGATGTCAGCAGCAGCAGCAGCAAAAGCAGACCTGCCCGGTGCTGAGGCAACTGCGAAGGAGCATGGCCTGCTCCGCGCTTGCTCCCCTTCCCGCAGGCCGGCCGAGAGGGCTCTCCTCCTTTCGCTGCTCTGCCCTGGCATTTTGGAGGCAGGGTGTCCCCGAAAGACCCTGGAGCAGTTCGCTTGGCTTTGTTTCACTTCACTTTAATTATAAATATATCCAAGAAACACAACACACGTGGGAATTCCCTACAGCAAAGTCTCTTGCTCCATACATAAGAAACAGGCATTGGAAAGGAAACGGAAAGGGGGGAAATCAACACACAGAAACCCCCAATGCAGAGCCCTGCTGTGCTGGGAAAAGAGAGCTTTCCTCCTCTCTGACCCCCCAGCAGTTTATTTCTAGTGCAAAAGTCCATAAATGTAAATAGGTAGCACCACCAACCTCTCCTCCCGCAACTTGTTAAAATCATGATCTTTATTCATTGACATCACAGAGGCTGAGGAGGTCCCATCTGCCACGGGGGTTTTCTGCGCCAGCACGCCCCCCTCAGGGACCCCCTGGCTGCCCCAAGAGCTCGCTGAGACCCCCACTCTCTTTCCTCCCACTCTGCTGACAGCCAGAAGAGACTCTCCTGTTGATTCCGCAGCACCTGCCAGTTATTTGCTGGGGGTTCCCCTGTGCTGTTTCTCCTTTGTTCTTACGCCTTTTTATTCTTCCCGTTTTCTTTGGGTTTTTGGTGCATTAAAATCCTGCCGTTGTTGTACTATGAGCCACTTCGTGACTTGAAAAGTGGGGCGCAATTATCTAGGCAAATAGATGCACAACTGCAACATATGCATTGCGGGGGGGAGTTGGACTAGATGACCCTTGGTGTCCCCTTCCAACTCTCCAATCCTATGATATGCCTCCCCTTCCTGACCCCATCACTGTTTGAAGTTTTATCCTTATTTCCGCCCCTATCCCCCAGTTCTATGTTGCAATCATTTCTTCCAACATTCATCCCCAAGATTTTTAATTTTTGTTCACTAACCCCCCTTATACACATAAGTGGAAGGTTGGCATCTGGCGCGTAGCTGTCAACTTTTCCCTTTTCTTGCGAGGAATCCTATTTGGAATAAGGGAATTTCGCTTCAAAAAAGGGAAACGTTGACAGCTATGATCTGGCGGCTGGCAGGGAATCCACGGCTGTTTGCCCTCCCTCCACACACCTCATTCCACTCCTCTTGGGTTTTCTGTAGCTCTGGCCACCGATCTCTGCTGTAAAAGTGGGTGCAGATTCACCCATTAAGCTTCATTTCTGACATGACCCTGGCGATGGTTCAGGATGCAGGTTTCTAGGCTTGTAGCCGGCCAGCAGGAGCTCAGGTGGCCGGATGTGGACCAGCAAATGGCAGCTGGATCTTGACAGACTTGTGATGGGCTCCAAGTTCTGGAGTCCAGGAGGTGGGAAGGCAGCCTGTTCTGGGTGGGGGCTGCTCTTCCCTGGAAGGAGCAGGATCATAGCTTGGGGAAAGTCCTGGATCCGCATTTGACACGAGAGGTCCAAGTGGCTGAGAGCGCTTGTCCCCAGCTCTGGTCCCTTCTGGACAGAGGGAACTTGGTCACGGTCCTCTCTGCCCTGGCCCCTGACACCTGAGATGTGCATTTGCAGGACCTCTGGCTTGTAATTTCATAGAATCCTAGAGCTGTAGAGTGGGAAGGGACCCTGAGGATCATCTAGTCCAACCCTCTGCAGTGCAGGAATAGGCAGCTGTCCCATATGGGATCAAACCTGCAACCTTGGCATTATCAGCACCACACTCTAACCAGCTGTTTTTAATACTGAGTTTTGGATCATTGTAACCTGCACTGGGACCTGCTGGTGAAGAAGGGCAGGTAATGAATTTGATTTTTGAATTATTAACACTATTGCTGCTAATCATAATATCATCTGCTATCTTCGTAGTTGCAGACAAAATCTCTTTCCACTGAGCACATTTTAATAACGGTGTATACGTGTTTCTTGCATTATAGACCAGTTTGTCTCCTCACTCAAAATTGCCCTGTGAGGTAGGCCAGGCTGGAGTTGCTACATTGGCTGGGGCTGCTAGTGGACCAAATGACCTCATTGGGCTCTCCCTTGACAGGCCTGACCATCTCCCCTTGACAGCTGAGGTAGCCAACCAGGCCAGAAGGTCCTTGCTTGAAAAACACACAGTTGCTGGACTCACCCAATTCTACTGAACAGGAATATGAAAAGGAAGTGGATTATAGGAAGGGCATGGTAGGCCAGCTTCAACGTTTCCTTCGTTTGTTGCAGGTATTTTATTTTCGGTAGAAACGGGACTCTTTTTTTTGCACCTACACACACACACACACACACACACACACAGCACAAAGGCTTCTGTTTCCAAAAAGAACGGGAGTGGGGCACAGTCTGATCTCTCCACCCCTGTTCCCTGTGACGTGGAGGGGAAGATAAAGGAAAAGCAGGACATTCCGGGATCAAATTAGAAACTGGAGTGGCTTCTGTAATTCTGGGACTGTCCCTGGAAAACAGGGACACTTGGCGGGTGTGTGCATCAGACGTATTTTGCCCCTGAAGACCAGTTGCTCAGGGTCACCGGTGGGAGTGGGCTGTGGAGCTCAGGTCTCCTTGTGGGCTCTGGCCAGCCACAAGGGAAGCCACACACTAGAGTGGGGGTGGTCTGACCCAGCAACAGGGCTCTTCCAATGTCCTTAGTGTTGAATTTTAATTCAATTTACCCAGAAAAACGCACAGAAAAGCTCAAGATACACGTTGATCTACCCACATGTAGTTGTTATCTCTGAGAAATGTAGAAAATAACAGGATATATTTATACAAATTCTTCAAACTTACACAACCCTTTAAAAATTAGCTGATGAAGGTGAATACATCGAAACAGGGCCCTGTCCTGGTTTCTGATCCATAATTGTCTTCTGACTTCTGCTCAATGATTGAAACTAAGACCTTCACGTCGAACCTGACTATGGACTAACATGAACTTATCTCTACTCATAACTCTTATAAACTCTTATCTCTAATTCTGTAACGAATTGCTGTGTTATACATATCCTTATGAGTTTGTAATCTCTGTTTGAGTTTGTAATCCTTGTCAGAATACATACTTTTGAATGGATTAGTTTTTGTTATAATTGACCATTGATTTGTGAGTAGGGACCACTCCCACTACTGAAACTTATATTGGCCTGAGTTCTTGGTGTGCTTTTTTCCTGGAATTTTATTTCAAGGCTGGCTGCCTTTCTGTATGTCAGATTAGGGGGGGGACAGAAACCCGGCTGCATTGTTATATCAAGTTGGAAAGAGACCGCACCATGTGTTAAGCAAGAGGCAAAAGGAAGGTCTGCTCCACCCCAGCTCCCTGACAGGAGCCCTGGGGAGGGAGCTCCAGGCCTCATCCGCTGATCCAGCTCCAGAAGAGGCAGCAGCAGCAGAAGCAGCAAGAGAGTTTCTGGCTCTCGGTGGGTCTCTGGAGTTTGGGTCAGATTCTGATATGAAAAGTGCTGTTGAAAAACAACAAGAACCCTTCAGCATTGGTGACCCACGGTCAGAAAAGGACGTCAGCAAAGATGGGGAGTTTAACATGCAAACAACAGCAGGTGGAAGCTGAACTCCAGGCCTCCTCGTGACTGAGAGAGAGACTCCAACTAGCTTAGGGGGAAATGCACCTCTCCTGGCTGAGACGCTTGGCAGCACAGCCAGGGCAGGCGGGGCAATGACGGGCTGCGTGAATCTGTCCTGGGGAGAGATGGATGCCCAGGCTGAGCTCAGCAGACTGTGTCCGAGAGCAAAGGCCCAGGACGTCTCACGAGGCACCTGCTTCATCGCTCTGCATGAGATGGGCAGGGGATGGATGGGACGAATGCCGAAGGGCAACCTCGGGCTGCTCTCACCTTGTTTGGCTTTCTTGGCACCCTCTGCTCTGAGAAAAGTCCCCCCGGAGCTCCTTGTTCCAGAGCCCGACAGCCCAGAGAGGGAAGGAAGGCCACGGCCGGGCAGTTTCCATTACCTGAGGAAGTCAGGCGCTCGAACGATCATGTGCTGGAAGTCTTCCAGGGACAGTTTGCCATCATTGTCCAAGTCGGCTTCCTCCATCACCTTGTTGCACACCAGGCACACCTCCTCCGGGGTCAACTCTTTGCGGGTCAGCTTGTTCACCGTCTTCTCCAGGTCGGATTTGCAGATGTAGTCATCATCGTTGAAATCTGCAGATAGAGGAGTAATTGGGGACCTCAGGGCCGGAGCAGGGGAAAGCTCCACTGCCTCTGAACTTACACATGATCCCCTCAGAAGGTCATCTCCCTGCTTGGGCGGGGAGAGCAGTGCCAGAGCCATGGCAGGGAGGCAGGGTGGGGGGAGGCCTGCTTAGGGGGGCTGGGGTGGGGGTGCCAGCATTGCTTCAAACACCTGCCCATTGGAAATGGGCTTCCTTGGCTCAGGTGCACAGGGGAGTCTGCTGCAGTGTTTGTGGAGCACCACAAGCCACGTCCACAAATGAACACACAATGCGGAGCCTCTGCTTCTCAGAGAGATTCCCACTGCCCACTTGCCAGTAACTTCTTGGGCTTCCTTCAATGCTTTTGATAAATCATGGCAGGCAGAAATTCAGGAGGTGCAGTTTCCCCGTCACTTGATCTCTTTGTGGGTCCAGCTGCCCCTCTGGCCTCTTCTCCTGCCCCCAAGAGCCGCCTCTCTCCCTTTCCCATTGCTGGAGTGACTGGCAGCTGGTGAAGTTGTGTGGCAATGCTCCTCTTCAAAGAGCCCACGCCCAACTCCCAGGACCCCTTCCCTGCGGCTGCCACTCATCAAGTGGTGCACCTACATTTTGGGGGTCTGAAGCTTGAATTGTCATGGGGGGCCCTTTGCAACCAGCAATGAGGACTGGATAACCCATTCAATGGGGTTGTTCCGTGACAGATCACTGACTCTCGAACTTTGGGATTGTTGAAATAAATACCAAAATATATATATTAATCAATATGACTCAAATCAATGCAACTCAAATTGGGTCTAGTTTTAAGCAATGTAGACACTTCTGGGATCCTCTGGGATTAGGAGATTAGCATGATTACTTTCCTGGTAGATATTCCCCTGACCTCACCGTAGATTTTGAAGGCGTAATAAGCCTTGAGATCCCGAGGAGCCATTTCACTCATCACCGAGAACATATCCAGGAAGTCATCTAAGGTCATGTTGCCCTCCCCATCCTCGGAGAAGACCTCTGCGATGCGCTGCCGGAAGGGGTTGTCCTGAGGAAGGAGATGGGGTGAGAAGGAAACCAGCCCGGCTTCAGGGCCTCCTCCCCATTCCCCCTGGGGCAGCCTCACTTCGTGGGCAGGTGAGACAGCTGGTGCCAGGCAGCCTCTCCCCACAGAGTCTTCCCTGGGAACTGAACCCCAGGGCCCCTGCCCGCCGCCTCCTGTACCTTCAGCTCAGGCATGCTGCCAATGAGTTCGTAGGGGAGCTTCACATTGGGCTTCTTCGTGTAATCGAGCGGGACCAGCTGAGGGGCCAGGTCACGGTACCTGTCAAACAACCTGCAAGCAAGGAAAGGAGTCTTTCTCACCTGTGGGATGCAGGACCAGGTCGTGGAGGAAGGGTGTGGCTTCTCTCGAGCATGCTGGACTGGCAGGAGTCAATCATCACTGAGCAACATGCAAGGAGTCATCCAAGATGACTTGCACTGGTCCAAATATCAGGACAGCTCACATCTCTGGCCTTCCCACCAAGCAAGGCAGAAGAAAGAGGGCGTTTGGCCAAGCAGCTCTGAAGCTGCTCTGTTATTTACAGTCAAATGTCTGGAGGCAAGGAGAGGTCAGCAAACCCAATAAGTCTTCTTCTCAGCTGCTGCCTAGAGGAAGCAGCAGGCAGAGGGTGTCCTTCTCCCACAAAAAATTAAAAACCAGGGAGAGGAAGAACCGATCAAGGCTATGCTAAGAATCTGAAAATGTTAGGGGGACTCAGACTGCCACACAGGTCTGTGTGCGAGGGAAGAGAAGGGGGCACAGTAGGGTTTCTTTTGGGGTGGTTGTCTTTGTGTGTGTGTTGCTGATAATTCTGTGCATTCAGGTACTTCTTCCCTGCACCGCCCCACCAATTCACAACAGGGAATGCTCCTGCAATCCTCGGCTCATTTACTTAGGTCCAGATCCCCAGACGCCATTGGATGCAGTAGGACCTACTTCCAAGTAAGCACGCATTGGCACAGGAGGCCTAAGTGATTTTGTGCTCAGTCCGTTTTAAAGGGCATTTACCTGTTTCCATTTCCTAAAAGTTTTTGTCTAAATAATAATAATAATAATAATTTATTATTTATACCCCGCCCATCTGGCTGGGTTTCCCCAGCCACTCTGGGCGGCTTCCAACTGAATATTAAAAACAGTACAGCATCAAACATTAAAAACTTCCCTAAAGAGGGCTGCCTTCAGATGACTTTTAAAAGTAAAATAGTTGTTTATTGCTTTGACATCTGCTGGGAGGGCGTTCCACAGGGCAGGAGCATCTTGTGTTTGCTTTTGGTATGTTGGGTTTCTTACTGCTTTCTTGTTCCAACTTTGTTGTTGGCTGCCTCAAAACAGACATTAAAAAAAAGGCAGGATATAAATCCTAACTAAGCTGATCCTTTGCCCCTGCCTGCTCAGAAGCGAAGGCCATTAAACTCTGTGGGATTTCCTCTTGGATTTGCATGCAGAGCACTGCAGCAGAAAGCGCTCACTAGAAGGGAAGTCTAAAAAGTGGGAGCGGGAGTGGGGGGTCTCCTCCTCCTCTGCCTCCTTTTTGCTTCCTTTGTTTACTCAGCAATGGGCTGTCATCAGAGAAAGTGGCAGAGAACAAAGAGGCAGAAGTTTCAAAAGGGCTCCCTATCAATAATGAATGCCTTATTCATGATACAATTATGGTCTTGGCTTCCATTCCAGACATGAAAACATGCCCATACTTAGGTTTCATCAATGCCCCTTTCACTCAGCCTGTGTCCCTTGCTACATGTCACACAGAAATGGCAGAGGGGAGGGGGCGCATTTCTCCTGGGCTGGACGCTCCCCCTGCCTTGCTCTGAGACCCCTCAGCCTGCAAGCCTTGGGCCTCCCTTCCTGGGCACTTATTTGTTTATTCACTGCATTAATATATCGCCTTTTCTTTTGGGGAGCTCAAAGCTGTGCCCATGGCTCTCCTATTCTAGCTTCATTACACCCCTGTGAGGTGGGCTAGAATAGATGGACAGGTAGAGAAGGGCTGGTAGCTGGGTGTGAGCTCGCTTCTCCCAAGGGGCTCAAACTCTAACCACTCCACCACATTATCTCTGCAGAGTCTCAGCTGGGGGAGCTCCAGAGGCCACAGGAACCAAATGGTTTGGAGTTTATTTGGAAATATTTCGAGTGTTTTGTGCTCAGCTCCTTTCCGCTTTCTCATTTGGAAGTCTCAAAGTTCAAAACTGAATAAACTTACTAAGAAGGAAACTATGACTCCCAAGGGATTTCTAGCACCTTCTTCTGTCTCACACAATGGCTCAGTTTTGTTGAGCGAGAGTCTTTAAAAGCCACTTGGAACCCCCTGATTTAGGCTTCTCTGCTGCAGGGACCCCAAACTGATCCTGCCACTTCCAGCCCTCCCCCCCCCCAGCTCAGCAGAGGGGATTTCCAGAATGCGGAGCTGAAGGGCGAGCGGGGCCAGGCGCATTCCTTCGCAAATGGGCATCTGTGAAAGGCAGCTCCTGCCTCAGCTTGGGGGAAGGCGGGGAAAGGCCGCTCTGCTTCAGCTGCCCCCCCCCCCCGCCGAGCTTTTAACAAAGGATAATTCTGACGCAGGTATTTGGATTCTGTAGCCAAACGCATAATCTCACCTGAGAATTTCTTTCCGTGTGAAGAACGTTGCATCCTGAAACAGAAAAGAAATATGAAATCAGGCAGAGAGGGGAGTCTGCGAAGGCTGGAGACACCCTCCCCCCGGAGTGATTTCTGATCTTCTGGTAAAAACCCTCTCCTACCCCGCCCCCACCCCCGTGCTGTACAGACATTAGCCGTAAAAATAAGCTCTTTGAATCCAGGCAAAGGCAGGTTGCTGCTGCTTTGACTCCATCTACTGCTGCTGCTTATGGACACACTCCTCGCAGGGCTGCGTTCACACATGGCATTCGCACTCGTGTGGCTTGTCTGCATGTTGGCTTGGAAAAGCAGCCGCTCCCGCTTCCTGCCCGGCGTTAGCAAAGCTCTGGTGAGCGCGCAGGCATGGGAGCTCCCGCGCTGCGTCCGCAGGTGCTCTTACCTGATAGGCGTCCAGCTGCTCCGGAGTGAAGATGGTTTGCTTGTTACCCATCTCTGAGCCCTGGGCCCCCTCGTCCCATGGCTCCTGCCCCCGAAGCTGCCTTTCGAGAGAGGCGTCTGGCTGGGGAGGTTAGGAAAAGCTCCAGCAATCGGGCTCTCCGGGAGTGGAGGGGATCAGGTATCGCCCGCTCGCTCTCCTCCATGGACCTCCGGATCATAATAGAGGCATTTCATCAAATCTTCAGTCCGGAGGCGGCACCAGGTGCATGTCCAGCATCACTCACCTGCTGCCCGCGGCGCGCGCCGGCCCCGGAGGGCTCAGGTTACGCGGCGGGTGCCAAGGCCCGCTCCTGGCTCGCTCTGTGCGCAAGGGAAGGGGCTGCTGCGCGCGGACGGAGCGGCTTCAGCTCGGCTCCGTGGCGCGGCCTGGCGGCCTCCCTCCTGCTGCCGGGAGGTCTCCCTGCTTCGCCCTCAGCATCTCCCCAAGTGGACTGGAAGAAAAGTGGCTCTGAGCAGCCAGCCCTGCATTGTCCCAACCACCCAATGGAAAGATGTTCGGCCCCAGAGAGAGAGATGGGGAGATGGCGGGAGGGAACCTCTCTCTCTCTCTCTCTCTCTCTCTCTCTCTCTCTCTCTCACACACACACACACACACACACACACACTGCCCACATGGCTGTGCATTTACAGCTAGCAGCCACCCATCTGGTTCGCTGAAACGGAATTCAAAATCTCTGAAAACGTCAACACACTTGTTTATTTATTTATCTATTTATTTATTTCATTAAAATGTATACACCACTTGACTGTAAAAAAGAAAGAAAGCTCAAAGCGGTTAGAAAAGAATAAAACAATAAATTTATCAGTAAATTTATCAGCCTCAACCAGAGCCAGGGCTTTTTCGGCCGTGGCTCCAATCTGGTGGAACGCTCTGTCACAAGAGACCGGGGCCCTGTGGGACTTGACATCTTTCCGCAGGGCCTGCAAGATGGAGCTGTTCCACCAGGCCTTTGGTCGGGGTTCAGTCTGACTCCCTCTCCCCTTTCATAAGAACTTGCATGAAAGTGGCCTCCCAATTTTTCTCACAGGCCCATATAAGTTCAGCACAAACAGTTGGGCCTGGTGAGCATTTAAGGTCCCCAACCCTAATCTGCGGGTTGCCATCTGATTGGATTTTATTCTGATCCTGATTTGAGGATGTATTTTAATTGATTGTCTGATTTTATGTTAATGTGTTATACATTTGATGTTAGCCGCTCTGAGCCCGGCTTCGGCTGGGGAGGGCGGGATATAAATAAAATTTATTTTTTTTTATTTTTTATTTTATTATTATTATTATTATTAAAGACAGTTAACAACAACTATTTAATGCATTAAAAAAAATCAAAATCAGAGATAAACTAAAAGCAGATTAGAACACACCCCATCAATCTCAATATCTGGCTAGGCTTTTCTAAAGTTGTTGGCAGGGGCTGAAAAGAGCACCTGCCTGATAATAATAATAATAATAATAATAATAATAATAATAATAATAATAATAATAATTTTTTATTTATACCCCGCCCTCCCCAGCCAAGGCCGGGCTCAGAGCGGCTTACAAGCAATAATAAAAACAAGTTGAATGAATACAACTTAAAAACAAAAATAAAATACAACATTAAAATAGTGGGACATTAAAATATTAAAATGTAGCCTCATCGCAGGAGGAGAAGGAAAAGAAAAAAGAAAGAGAGGGAGGGAATCAAATTGGCTCCAAGCCAAAGGCCAGGCGGAACAACTCTGTCTTACAGGCCCTGCGGAAATAAATCAGATCCTGCAGGGCCCTGGTCTCATGAGGCAGAGCGTTCCACCAGGCTGGAGCCAGAGTTGAAAAGGCCCTGGCTCTGGTTGAAGCCAATCTAACTTCCTTAGGGCCTGGGACCACTAGGGTGTTGCTATTTATGGACCTTGAGGCTCTCCGTGGGGCAGACCGGGAGAGGCGGTCCCGTAGGTACGAGGGTCCTAGGCCGTGATAGGGAGTTTCAAAGTGTAGCAGCTGCCGTGGTAAAATATTGGTTTGTTACGAATGCAGAAGTATGATGTGGGAGTTGTACCTGTGCAAGTTTTGCAGGTCGAAGTGGTCATATATGGGGCATAGTGATCTCACAGCAAGGGGATTATGGCCAAAACTTGGGCCTTGCCCAGCATTTCTCCCATTGCTGCCACCCCTGAGACTTCTGGCTGCTCAGCCTCAGGCTGAAACGGGCAACTTATTAAAACAGAGACAGATGAGGGCACATGTAGCAGCACAAGGGCACCTGGCCAGGTCACTAGTCAGCATTGTTTGCATTTGGAACTACAATGGTATCTGATCAGCTTCAAGCCTTTGACTTTCTTTCTTGATTAATGAAAATATTCTTGGCAACCCGCAAGCTTAACACGAGTCCACAGCGTGATGCAGCAGCAAAAAAGGCCAATGCTATTCTTGGCTGCATCAACAGAAGTCTTGTGTTTGGATCAAGGGAAGTCATTGTTGTTGTTTAGTCGTTTAGTCGTGTCCGACTCTTTGTGACCCCCTGGACCAGCACACACCAGGCACTCCTGTCTTCCACTGCCTCCCGCAGTTTGGTCAAACTCATGCTGGTCTCTTCGAGAACACTATCCCACCATCTCGTCCTCTGTCGTCCCCTTCTCCTTGTGCCCTCCATCTTTCCCAACTTCAGGGTCTTTTCCAGGGAGTCTTCTCTTCTCATGAGGGGGCCAAAGTATTGGAGTCTCAGCTTCAGGACCAGTCCTTCTAGTGAGCACTTAGGGTTGATTTCCTTCAGAATGGAGAGGTTTGATCTTCTTGCAGTCCATGGGACTCTCAAGAGTCTCCTCCAGCACCAGAATTCAAAAGCATCCATTCTTTGGCGATCAGCCTTCTTTATGGTCCAGCTCTCACTTCCATACATCATGACTGGGAAAACCATGGCTTTAACTATACGGACCTTTGTCGGCAAGGTGATGTCTTTGCTTTTTAAGATGCTGTCTAGGTTTGCCATCGCTTTTCTCCCAAGTCATAAAAAGGTAAAGGTAAAGGTACCCCTGCCCGTACGGGCCAGTCTTGACAGACTCTAGGGTTGTGCGCCCATCTCACTCAAGAGGCCGGGGGCCAGCGCTGTCCGGAGACACTTCTGGGTCATGTGGCCAGCGTGACATTGCTGCTCTGGCGAGCCAGAGCCGCACACGGAAACGCCGTTTACCTCCCCGCTAGTAAGCGGTCCCTATTTATCTACTTGCACCCGGGGGTGCTTTCGAACTGCTAGGTTGGCAGGCGCTGGGACCGAGCAACGGGAGCGCACTCCGCCGCGGGGATTCAAACCACCGACCTTTCGATCGGCAAGCCCTAGGTGCTGAGGCTTTTACCCACAGCGCCACCCGCGTCCCTCCCAAGTCATAGTCCAGCTCTATTCTGCCTTGACAGACCACACCTGGAAAACTGTTCTGGGCACCATAATTTAAGAAGGATGTTGACAAGCTGGAACGTCTGCAGAGGAGGGCGACCAAGGTGATCAAGGGTCTGGAAACTAAGCCTTATGTGGAATGGTTGAGAGAGTGGGGCATAATTTGGCTGGAAAACAGGGGACTGAGCAGAGAGATGATCGCCATCTTCAAATATCTCTAGGGCCCCCACATGGGAGGCAGAGAAAGCTTGTTTTCTGCTTCTCCAGAGGGCAGGATCCAAACTGACGGATTCAAACTACGAGAAAGAAGATTCCACTTAAACATTAAGACAGTAAGAGCTGTTTGACAGTGGAACAGACTCCCTCAGGAGGGGGGTAGACTCTCCTTCCTTGGAGGTTTTAAAGCAGTGGTTGGATGGCCATCTGGCAGGGAAATTTTTTAAAAGAATCCCTGTCTGATGGCTACCCAGCCTCTGATGAAATATGTCCACAGAAGGAGAGTTCACCACCTTCCAAGGGAGCCCCTCACACTGTGAAACAGCCCTTACTGCCACAAAGTTATTTCTGATTCAGGTAAGTAGCTGTGTTGGTCTGACACAGTCAAAAAAAATTAAAAAAATGTCCAGTAGCACCTTAGAGACCAACTAAGTTTGTTTTGGGTACAGTGGTACCTCGGGTTAAGAACTTAATTCGTTCCAGAGGTCCATTCTTAACCTGAAACTGTTCTTAACCTGAAGCACCACTTTAGCTAATGGGGCCTTCTGCTGCTGCCGCGCCGCCAGAGCACGGTTTTTGTTCTCATCCTGAAGCAAAGTTCTTAACCCGAGGTAATATTTCTGGGTTAGCAGAGTCTGTAACCTGAAGCGTATGTAACCTGAAGCGTATGTAACCTGAGGTACCACTGTATAAGCTTTCGTGTGCATGCACACTTCTTCAGATACAACTTCTTCAGATATAACTTCTTCTGAAGAAGAAGTGTGCATGCACACAAAAGCTTATACCCAGAACAAACTTAGTTGGTCTCTAAGGTGCTACTAGGGACGCAGGTGGTGCTGTGGGTTAAACCACAGAGCCTAGGACTTGCCGATCAGAAGGTCGGCGGTTCGAATCCCCGTGACGGGGTGAGCTCCCGTTGTTTGGTCCCTGCTCCTGCCAACCTAGCAGTTCAAAAGCACGTCAAAGTGCAAGTAGATAAAAAGGTACCGCTCCGGCGGGAAGGAAAACGGCATTTCCGTGTGCTGCTCTGGTTCGCTAGAGGCAGCTTAGTCATGCTGGCCACATGACCCGGAAGCTGTATGCCGGCTCCCTCGGCCAATAGAGCGAGATGAGCGCCCCAACCCCAGAGTCAGCCACGACTGGACCTAATAACAAAGGACGTTTCTCTGTGTGAGGGGGCAAATGGGTGCCCCCCCCACCTGGCTGGTGGTGAGAAAGACAAAGGCCAGAGCTGTGTGGGTGAGATGGGCTGGGGGCAGGCAGCATCTAGAGACAGATCCATGCTGAATTCTTGCTAGAATCCAGGATTGTGGCAATGGGAAAAGCAAGACCTTCTGGGGTGCTGTGAGCCCTTCCATCTTAGGCTCAGGTTGTCTCTATATGCAAATAAACCCTATATCCTGAGGACAGAGCCTGGAACCCCAGGAATCTCGCACTGTTGGGAGACTGGGGTGGGCAGCAATAGCATAGATGGAAGGGGAGGTTTCTGGATCACATATTGTTATTATTTATTACATTTCTATATGGTTCTTCATGGGTTACAATATAAAGCCACAAAAAGACATGCCATAAAAACAAACATTCCTTCCCCAGCTGGTTTTTGTGGCACTGCAGCCGGGTGTCCTAAAGAAGGCAAGGCCCCAACAGAGGCTACTTTGGGGGGGGCAGGGGAGGCCATGCCTCTGAAAGGGCAGGTTGGAGTGCTGAGCGCAGGCCTCTCTTTTGAGCAATATTCCTATTACGAAAATGTACATATCTCAACACGTGTTTGTAATGGTGTAAGAATTTCTCAGAAACTGGGGTTCCACATACATGGCTACCAAGGTGCCAAGGCAACCCCCCCCCCCCTTTTGAAGTAAGTATTGCTATTGAAAGTTTATTTTAACATAGAATACAATAAAATTCAAAGCATAGCAAAGACAATAAAAACATCATTAGCAGCTCTCCTCTGCCAAAGATCACATCTTGACGTTTCAACCTGCGCAACAGCTCCCCCTGCAGGAGCGCCCGCCGGTACTGCAGGCACGCAAGCAAAAAGACGCCGCTCCCCTTTTCTTGTAAGCCGCCCGGAGCGGGAGAGAAATGCTCCACCTCTGGCGCGCCCCTCGGCTTTTATGAATTAAAAGGCGCAATTCATGAATGAAAGCCGGGCCCAGATATTATGCGGAGTGGAGAAGAGGTAGTTCGGCCATGTTTAGGCCCTGGCTGACCTCAGAGACACTTCTCGAGTAGCCAGGAACTCCTGGGTGGGCGGCTGATGGGTCACCAATCTGCAAACTGGGTGGGAGAGTATTTGTCAAAAAGGGGAAAGTCTTTTGTTCATGAATGGGGGAAGGTTGGTGTCAAAGGACTCCGGGGCAAGAGCATTTGCCTCCCGGCTCTCCTCTCGTGGGGAGGGGGCGGGCGGGGGCGCGCGCAGGGGGCGGGGCGTGAGAAGCAAAAGGCGCGCGCGTGGTCTCGGCGGGTCCGCAGCTGGATCCTCCTCGGACCGGGAGAGCTGCCTCGCCTGGCTCCCTGGTGCTGCGGGGCAAGCGCCTTGGGGTGGTTCGGAGGAGACTTTCCCTGGGCAGGAGGGAAGGAGTCGCCTGTTTTGGAGCCCTGGCTGGGATGGAGCTGCGAGGTATTCCTTCCCCCCCTCCTTTTTCACTTTAACTCACTGTAACATATATGCATAAGGGGAAAGAGGTTTTGACTGGTTTTAGGTAGTTTTGCAGGGTGCATCCGCGCGCCCCTTTCAAAGTGTTTTGACGAGCTTTTATTGAGAGAGTTCTGGAGGAGCGAGGCGAGGAGCCATTTATTGCCCCCGGGCGGCATCGGGGCCCCGCAGGAAGGGGGGGAGGGCAAAGGGGGGGTTACTCGGGGGCAGCCAGCGGGGGAAGAGGGGTGCTTCCGTGGCCAGCAGCACCAGGAGGGCCCAGCGGGGGAACGACGACGGGACCCCCGTGTCTTAGGACGTGGGGAGCGGCAGAAGAAGGGGGAGGTTTCAAGCGGAGCTTGAATGGCCATCTGCGTCGTGTGACCTCGTAGAGATTCCTGCATTGCAAGGGGCTGGACTAATGAAAAAAATGCTCCTTTTCCTTTATGGGGTATCCAAGAGCCCGTATAGAGTCCTTACATAGGTTCCCTATCGGAAGGAGAAAATAACAGAGGCCAACCAGAGAATATTGAGAAGCAAAGTGGCTAGTGAGCCTGATCTTTATTGATCTGTTGCAACAGGGTCCTCACTCACCACACGCAGGAGGGAGGAGGAACCCAGAACAATGGTGTCCAGGCTCTTATATAGACTTTTGAAATTGCCCACCCTGTAGCCAGAGACCACCCCCAAAACATCATACATACATCACAGAAAGAGGCAGTCTACAGCAGAAATCCTCATATGCAATCATAAGGTCACTGATTGCATTACCTGGACAGCCCAGCCATTCTTTTGTGATGGTAAATACTCCCGAATCCAGGTCACAGGCTCACCCTATTCATGCACAAATATGCCCTTAAGGCAGATAAGCAAAAGACAATGGAGAGTATTTCCCCGTTTTCTTCCTCCTTGCAGGAATATATATTTATGAATGAGACCTTAGAATTCCTGTAACACTACAATTCTGTTATCAGCTTTCTGCTTCTTGCAGAGGCTTTCTCCTGCCACCAAACCTCTCCTCCAGTTTCTGGCCAAGGGAGGGAGCAGTTCAGAAGGCAGCCAGTCAAGAGCCCCTCCCTGATGCCCATAAAACCTCTCCAGGTGTGTGCAATATACTGCGGTCCTCCTGGGCTCCTGTGCAGGATTCCTAGAAAGGTGGAGGCGGCAGATCCTTCAGAGCAAACTCCTCTCCCTTCCAAGTCCCTTCCTGCAAGGGAAGTGGCTTTTGCCTCTCTCTTGTGCAAGTGAAACCTCAGTAGTGCCTTCTGGGATTGGGCGAGTCTCCTCTCTTCCCCCTAATAAGGAAAAAATCTGGGCTGAGAGACTACTCAACAGCCCAGCTTGTCAGCTTGTCCCCCGCGGGTCCATGTGGTCAGTAAAGGAAGGAAGTTTGAGCCAAGTAATTTGGAGCAAAACAGCGGTCAGTAGACCATGATCTTTATTGTTGCGCAACAGGTTCCCCCAGGAGCAAGAACCCCAAGCATGGGGTGACATTGACTTTTAAAACTTCCCATGATATCCCAGAATACAGTTCGTACAGCATCATTGATACATCATCCTTACATCACTGACATGTCACAAAAGGGGAGGAGTACAGAGGGATTGAAAATTAGCTTAGGCAGGTCACTGGGTCCAAAATTAGCATAGGCAGACATGTCCCAGCAACTCTTAAGTAGCTATCACCAAAGAACAATAGAACTCTTTACATATCCTTGTCCTGGGGCAGGTCTGAGGATCATACTTCAGCATGGCAATTGCCACCCTTGGGCACTCCCTGGGTGGGGTGTTGTGTATGTGCCCTCAGCTTGAGGGATAATGGTGGGAGAGAAAGGTAAAGGGGCAAAAATGGCCTCTAAGGGCAAAAATGGCCTTGGAGTGGAGGAAATTGGTGCAGGGGTTGATTTTATATGATTTTATAAACCTAGGTATCTTCCCTAAGCTGTCAAGTCGAAAAGATACATTCAGGCACAATATTCGTAATAATTGTAACAAGTTTAGAGATGTGCCCCCCCGTCATTTCCATAGTACCCCACAGGGGGCCTGGGGTACAGTGGGGGTCCCAGAGGTGCAGGGCACATACAAAACTTGGCAGAAGATCAAGGGATTCATTCTGATCTCTTGGAGGATTCATGAGTGTCTAGATGGATGAGCAAGACTCAGCTGACCCCGAAGCAGGAAGAGGCGATGCCCTACAAATTGGGAACAGTGGGAAATTTTTGGGAAAACTCTGTGCAGAAAATCCTGGGTAAGGAGGACACCCTTAGCTCAGATGCACAGATCCAGCAGTTCTGATAACAGGAAGCCACCTCACGTTAACTTGCCTTCTGAATTGGTCTTTGAATGGTAAAATAGGCTTCTAAAACAGTGGCTGGGATTCATGTAACCAGCCTCATCAGTTGCACAATGGGGCTTCCCCTGCCCCGCCCTCAGGTACCCACTGATGTTGGCTTTAGAACATCAGGTGGTTCCACTCCAGAAACGGAACACAGGGAGAGGAGAGAGGGGATGCTTTCATCGGGCAAACTGGAATGCCACACATAATGTGGAGTTCCACCACTATAATTAATGCCCATCATTAAAATACGCAATTGTTAACGGAAAAATCCGAGGGCTCCCTTGGACAAAAACAAAGACACCAACCAGGATTACTTGGAGCAAAACAGCAGCCTGTAGGCTTGGCCTTTATTGATCTGTTGCAACAGGGTGCTCCCCTCACTTGCAGGAGAGAGGAAGGACCCAGAAAAAATGGTGCGAAGGCCTTATAAAGACTTTTGAAATTGCCACCCTGTAGATCAAGACCACCCCCAGAAACATCATACATACATCACAGAAGGGGTGTAACCTAAGACCACCCCTCAGATACATCATACCTACATCACAAAAAGGCGGTCTAAACAGAAATTTGAATGTGTTTTTTTTCCTCCTGTCCTTTTTTTATCTCCTGTCTGGCAGGTTACTTGACTGGATTGCCTGGGGAGCCTGGCCAGTCTTTTGTAATGATAAATACTTAGTTCCTGGGCCATGTCACAGGCTCACACCCTATTCAAACACAGACATACCCTTAAGACAGGATTTGTTAAGGAAAAGACAATGGGGAGGCTTTTCCATTTTCCTTTGAACTTGCAGAGAAAACATTTGGTTGGTTTGGGACAGTTTGGGAATCAAAATGGTTCCAGGTCGGTCTTCCTGTGCTGATCTATGTACGTGCTTGGTTGGTACACTTATGAACATTTAACATATACAGTGGTGCCCCGCAAGACGAATGCCTCGCAAGACGGAAAACTCGCTAGACAAAAGAGTTTTCCGTTTTGGAGGTGCTTTGCAAAACGAATTTCCTATGGGCTTGCTTCGCAAGACGAAAATGTCTTGCGAGTTCCTGCCGGTTTTTCCCCTCCCCCCCCTTTTCTAAGCCGCTAAGCCGCTTATCAGCTGATCCGATCAGCAGATAAGCCGCTAAAAGCCGCTAATAGCGCTAATCCGCTAATCCGCTAATGGGCTTGCTTCGCAAGACGAAAAAACCGCTAGACGAAGAGAATCACAGAACGGATTCTTTTCGTCTTGCGAGACACCACTGTATCTAAGACCTCAAAATTCATATCACACAATAAAATAATTCCATTATAACATTAAAAGAAGCACCCATAATTAAGATGTGCAGCAAAACAATCCCATGAAAACAATGCAGCAATTAACAGAGCAATATGTAATAAATAAATATTTGTGCTGTCTAAGAGGAGAACTTTTCCCTTTTTCTGTTAGGGTCCAATGTGCTTTGAAGATATAGCTGTTCATTTCACAGATGAGGAGTGGACTCTGCATAAGGAAGTCATGGAGGAGAATAATGGGATCATGGACTCTACCAGTAAGTCTCCCTGTTTGACCATAATATCTGCTTTTAAATTCAATACATATCTACATGTGATGAAGGTCTACTATTTTGATGGGGCTCAATATTGCTGCCTACAACATCTGGAATTCTAAAATCCCACTGCTAACCTTGAATGGAGGGCTGTTTACTGTTTTGTCTGCAAATATTCTTATTTATTCCATGTACCGTATTTTGCGCCCCATAAGACGCTCCGGCCCATAAGACGCACCTAGTTTTTTGGGGGGGAAATAAAGAAAAAAAATTTATTCCCCCCCCCAGGTGCGGGGCTGGAAGAACCAGGTCGGGGAACAGTGGGAAGGCACGCTCTGCCTCCCCGCTGTCCCCCGAGCTTGTGGGGCTGGCGATGGGGAGAAGTGCACCAGTCCCGGGAGGGCAGGCAGCTCTGCGCCGCCATCCCGAGCAGGGCGGGACTTAGCGCCCCGCTCGGGATGGCGGCGCAGAGCTGCGCTGGTCCCAGGACCGCAGGCAGCTCTGCAGGGCCACCGGGAGCGGGCGGAGCTTCTCCCCCGGCTCCCGGTGGCCGGGCAGAGCTGCGCTGGTCCCGGGATTGCAGGCAGCTCTGCGCAACCCTCGGAGCCGGTCTCCCGAGGGTTGCGCAGAGCTTCCTGAAGCCTGGAGAGCAAGAGGGGTCGGTGCACACCGACCCCCCTCGCTCTCCAGGCTTCAGCGAAAGCCTGCATTCGCCCCATAAGACGCAGGCACATTTCCCCTTCATTTTTGGAGGGGAAAAAGTGCGTCTTATGGGGCGAAAAATACGGTATACACAGCCCTATACGCGGAAGTCTCAGGGCAGTTCACAAACAAGACCACAACATAAAAACAAACCAAAAACAATACCCTCCCCAAAAAACCCCCAAAGAGGCTTATTCTCAAAGGGTGTTGGGTGTCAATAAGATCAACCAAAGGTCTGGTTAAAATGGAACATTTTGGCCGCGTGCCGAAAGGTGTTTAATGAAGGCACCAGGTGAACTTACCTGGGGAGAGCATTCCACAAAGAGAGAGCCACTGCAGAAAAGACCCTGTTCTCATGTTGCCACCCTGCGGACCTCTCAAGGAGGAGGCACACACAGAAGGGCCTTGGAAGGTGATCTCAGGGTCCAGGTAGGTTCAGATGGAAACAGGTGATCCTTGAGGTATTGCGGTCCTGAGCTGTTTAAGGCTTTATAGGTCAAAACCAGCACTTTGAATTGGGCCCGAAAAATAATCGGTAGCCAGTGCAGTCGGACCAGGATCGGAGTAAAATGCTCAAACCGTCTTGCTCCAGTGAGCAACCTGGCTGCTGAATTCTGCACCAGCTGAAGTTTCCAAACCGTCTTCAGAGGCAGCCCTACGTAGAATGCATTGCAGTAATCTAACCTTGAGGTTGCCAGAGCATAGACAACAGTGGTTAGGCTCTCCCTGTCCAGATAGGGGCATAGCTGGGCCACCAACTGAAGATGATGGAAGGCACTCTGGGCCACTGAGGCCACCTGAGCCTCGAATGACAGCAAAGGATCCAGGAGGACCCCCAAGCTATGAGCCTGCTCCTTCAGAGGAAGTGTAACCCCATCAAGAGCAGGTGACCTTCCAGCCATCTGGTCTAGGGTACCACCCACTAACAGAGCCCCAGTCGTATCTGGATTGAGCTTACTGGGTTGAGCATACTGCTGACAACATGCGCCAAACCTCCAGATAACCCCACCCAGCAGTTTAATGTAGATGTTAAACAACATGGGGGATAGGATTGAGCCCTGCGGAACCCCACATTGATGGTTCCATGGGGCTAAAAATCATTCCCCAAGTAACACCCTCTGGGAATGACCATCCATGTAGGACTGGAACCACCTCAAAGTGGTGCCACCCACCCCTAGTTTGGAGAGTCGCTCCAGAAGGATGCCATGGTCGATGGTATCGAAAGCCGCTGAGAGGTTGAGAAGACTTAACAGGGATATGTTTCCCTTGCCTCTCTCTTGACAGAGGTCATCATTCATAGTGACCAAAGCAGTTTCTGGGCCTAAACCCCAACTGAAATGGATCCAGAAAATCAGTTTCTTCCAAAAGCACCTGGATCTAGTCTATGACCACTCGCTCTAGAACTTTGTCCAGGAAAGCAAGATTAGCAACTGGCCGGTAATAGTTAGGTTTTCTGAATCCAGGGAAGGCTTCTTAAGGAGTGGTTTTACCACTGGCTCCTTCAAACAGGCAGGGGCCACCCCCTCTTGTAAAGAGGCATTGATCACCTCCCTGGCTCAGCCAGCTGTTGCCTCCCTGCTTGTTTTTATCAGCCAAGATGAGCAAGGGTCTAGAGCCCAATTGGTCACCCTGACGGATCCGAGCACCTTGTCCACACCCTCGAGCCTTAGCAACTGAAACTGAACCAACACAACAGGCCTGGACTGTGCTCTGGACACCCCTCCAGTTATGCTTTTTTAGGCCTGATCAGGCTGCTCTGAACTGCCCAGGCCTTTTTAAATGTAAGCTTCAAAGTAGTTAGGGATGTTGAAGTAGCTTCTGTCAGGTTCTTTGTTATTGGAGATGGAGGGGATGCCATGATTGGGTCAAACAAAATCCATCACACAAAAGAGCTTTGCTTTAAGAATCTCAAGTTCCCATTCCCATAAGTATTATGTTAAGGCCAGTTAACAAAGGCAGTGAACCCTGCAAGAAGACATCACATCTAATGCCCCTCAGTTTTTCCTCTATCAAAATCATTCATTAGCATTGTTCAATAACTGAGGGCTCCATTTCTTCCTGGGACTATAATCTGTTACTCCCTTCATTGTAGGTGGTGATGAATTGGACATTAAGAACAAGGGAAACCACGGCAAAGTCCACAAAGTGGAGAAACCAGATAAGTATTCAGAGTATGGCGAGAACTTCATTCAGAGCTCCTGTTGCAATCAAACAAATTCCATTGGGAAGAAATCCTATCAGTGCTTGGAATGTGGAAAGAGCTTCAGTAAGAAGGGCACATTCATAGTCCATCAAAGAATTCATACAGAGGAGAAACCATATCTTTGCATTGAATGTGGTAAGAGCTTTACCCAAAAGGGAAATTTCACTTCCCATCAAAGAATTCATACAGGGGAGAAACCATATCAGTGCCTGGAATGTGGAAAGAGCTTCATCCAAAAGGGAAGTCTCACTTCCCATCATAAAATTCATACAGAGGAGAAACTACATCAGTGCTTGGAATGTGGTAAGAGCTTCAGTGAGAAGCACACACTTATAGACCATCAAAGAATTCATACAGCGGAGAAACCATATCAGTGCCTGGAATGTGGAAAGAGCTTCACCCAAAAGGGAAATTTCACTTCCCATCAAAGAATTCATACAGGGGAGAAACCGTATCAGTGCTTGGAATGTGAAAAGAGGTTCTGTCGGAGTGCCCATCTCACAACCCATCAAAGAATTCATACAGAGGAGAAACCATATCAGTGCTTGGAATGTGGTAAGAGCTTCACCCAAAAGGGAAATTTCACTTCCCATCAAAGAATTCATACAGGGGAGAAACCATATCACTGCGTAGAATGTGGAAAAAGGTTCCGTAAGAACTGCCATTTCACTGCCCATCAAAGAATTCATATAGGAGAGAAACCGTATCAGTGCTTGGAATGTGGAAAAAGCTTCACCCAAAGGGGAAGTCTCACTTACCATCAAAGAATTCATACAGAGGAGAAACCATATCAGTGCTTGGAATGTGGAAAGAGCTTCATCAAAAAGGGAAATCTCACTTCCCATCATAAAATTCATACAGAGGAGAAACCATATCAGTGCCTTGAATGTGGTAAGAGCTTCAGTGAGAAGCACACACTTATAGACCATCAAAGAGTTCATACAGGGGAGAAACCGTATCAGTGCTTGGAATGTGGAAAGAGCTTCAATCATAGGTCCAGTCTTTCTTCCCATCATAAAATTCATACAGGGGAAAAACCGTATCAGTGCTTGGAATGTGGAAAGAGGTTCAGTCAGAGTGGCAATCTCACAACCCATCAAAGAATTCATACAGGGGTGAAACCATATCAGTGCTTGGAATGTGGAAAAAGTTTCAGTCACAGCACCAGTCTCACTTCTCATCACAGAATTCATACAGGGGGGCAGTGACCATTTAAATGCTTGAAATATGGGAGTTACTTTATGGAAGCACAAAGTTTCATTGAAATGAAAGCAGTGGAAAGACGTTCAGTCACAACACCCATCTGACTTCCCATCAAATAAGCCACAATGGGCATAACCATAGAAATGGGTATCTACAAATTTAATTTTAGGAGATTGTGATTTGTCTGCAGGCAAGGATTGCAATAGTGTGTATGTCCTTCAGAAACACAGCAAAGAAGTCAATGTTGTCTCTACAACCATGGAGTGAAAAAGCCTTGCTGAAATTGAGATACACGACATCTACAGCATTCCCCTGAACCACCAATGTTGTACCTTTATCATAGTAACCTTTTCCAAATGCTCACTGGGTGACTGTTTATCTTTTCTAGGACCTTTTCCTGGTACCAATGTCAAGCTCACTAGTTTTTCAGTTAATCTAGGTCTTATTTTTCTCCCTTTTTGAAGATGGGAACAATATATTGCCTCCTCCAGTTTGTTCTCCAGGAATTCTCAAAGATCATAGACAATGGCTCTGAAATCACACCTGCAAGCTCCTTTAATACCCTTGGATGCAGCTCATCAGGCCCTGGAGATCTGAATTCATTTAAAGTAGCCTGGTGTTCCCTTACTACCTTTTTCATATCTTGGGCTTCAGCTCCCTCTTCACACCATTTATTCTGTTACCACCAGGTTGGGCATCACTTTCCTTTTGGGTAAAGACAGAGGCGAAGAAGGTGTTGAGTAGTTCCACCTTTTCTCTGTCACCCAATAGCATTTCTCCGTGTTCCCCATGTAGAGGACCTATCACTTGCTTGTTCTTTCTTTTGCTTCAAACATAGCCGAAGAAACCCTTAAAAAAATTATTTTTAACTTTTCCTGCAAGCCTGAGCTCATTCTGAGCTTTAGCCCACCTGCAACTGTATACTCTTTTGTGATTTTCCCTTTCTTAGAAATGCCCTTCTTGAATCTCAGCTGATCTGTAAGCTCCTTATGCAGCCATCCTGGTATCTTCAGATGCCTCCCACTTTTCTTTCTTATTGGAATTGTCTGCATTTGGGCCTTCAATATTTCACCTTTTAGAAACTCATCCATTTTGGAATCCCTTCTCTTTTGAATATTTTTGACCATTGGATCTCACCCAGTGGCTCCTTAAGCTTTATAGGAACCTCTAATTCTTTATTCATTTCTTAACACCTGCATATCAAATTGATAACAAATATTCATGAAAAATAATTGTGGGGTTTTTGTTGTTGTTCTAGTATCTCGGGGGTCTCAGAAGCTGAAAATGCTGCTGGTCCAAACAATGTTGTTTAACCAATGTTGTAGCTGTAAACATTGTCATTGGGTTACATCTGATTGCTGATTTTTATCACAGTGTTGCTTAAAAATTCATCTTCAGCATCCATCAGTTGATCCAAAGTCAAAATACTTGCTTCCATCCAATCTTTCCATATCACCATCTTTCCCCATTTTTTAAAGTTAGATTTTCCTATAAAGTCAATATAGCATGGGAAAATTGGCCACATCTTTTTTTTATTAGACATTCCATAATTTATAACTGACATAATTCTTTCCAAAGTTCTAACGTATTTCGATCCTAATGCTGTCCATCCAACCAAAGGTGCTATGTATGTATATTCCAAAGTTGCCTAAATGGGAAAATTAACACCAGTTGTTGGTGTCCAGTATTTAACGCCTTGCATTGTTATAAAACTGTCAGGAGAATTACATGGGGAAACCCTCTTGTCGCTCAAGATTCCCCAGGGAAGGTACCTTGTTGGTCAAGGGAAGAACCAAGGGAATGCAGAGCAAAGCCACCAGCAAGCCAGATCCTTATTCAAAGAATACTGTTGCGACAGCAAAGGAAGGAAGGAAAGAGACCCGCAACAAAAGGGTTTTACATTTTATACTTTTGGATTTGGGGCAGTTCCTGTTGGTGCAAGAATCATTTGTTCTCAGAAACAATGGTGTAGTTTAGTCTGTGTGATGTTCCCAGAAGCTACAAAAAGCCTGGACCGTTTACATCAGGTGCAAGGACATGTTGAAGAATGTTACCTGGACGTGCACAGCTCCTGAGCTGAACTGTGGGAACTGTCTTAGTCTGACCTCTGCCTTCGAACTGTGAAGATGTAAGCAGAGGGTCTGGTAGCCTATGAGACTGTTAAGCAGACCTCTACCAGGGTTCCAATAGAAATATTGATTTCTGTATATAATCTGTAACCATTACGCTTAATGCTGACATTAAAAGACTTCTCTCTACTTTGGATGTTTCCTGTGTTTTATTTTCTTCACTCCATGCTTCACTCTGCTAAATGGGGCCAGGGTCTTTGAAAGCATGCTGGTCCCAAGGAAAAGAGTTTGAATTGCCTAAGAAAACTCCTAACAGGCTGTGGTGGACTGTTGATACCGCAACAGGTTATGGGAGTTTGGTTATGGCAAATATCCAACAGTTCCTTGGTCAAAGTGACCTCCCTAAAAAGGCCATGGTTATGTCACCAAGAGGTGGTACAAACAGATAAGGTAATTTACAAGGCACAGGTCAAATCAATACAGTATAAAGGAAATACAAGCTGATTGCATTCAGAACATCCCTTTTCAAACATTGAGCAAAATTTATTCGCTGATTTCACATTTACAAACATGCATACAATTATGTTTCATTTTAGAGCTGGAGGGGGGGGGAATACATGAGATCTGAAGTCTTCAGTCCATTGCAAGAGTTCCTGGGACTATGTGCTAGGAGGAATATTCCACATGTCTTTCATGCCTGTATTGGGAAGTTTTGGTCTTCCCCATGTGAGTAAGTGGGAAACAAACCTTTATTTAACTGTATTTCACTGAGTGTGTGAGCTTTCCCCCTTTAAAACATCAAGAATAGAAAGGTTCCTCTAAATAGGTGCCCCCCCCCTGTTTTATGAGGCCCCTTCTAAGTGTTCTGAATGTTCTATTGCGGTTGCTTATCAGACACAGGAGGTGGCACTGTTGCATTTTTAGGAATATTTGTGTTTGACAGCTCAGGAACCAGTTTTCCTTTACTAAAATACTGCATTGGTCAAATGTCTGCTTGGGGAATGTGGGTTTGGGTGTGTTTATCTCCACAACTCCCGTATGGGGGTGTAATTTTTATAACAACAGTAAGCAAGCATGAAGATATAGCTCCAGATTCAGAATCCTGAATCTTTCCTCATTAATTTGTAGTTGCATTTTCTGTAAATATATTATTGGAATCGAAAACCCCATAGAAAATTTCTAAACAAAGAATTTATTTTCTGAAAATATTTTATAGATATACGAACTGGAATTCTTCTCAGAATATAAATTAATATGTAATGTTCTTTTTGAGAACATTCAACTTCTCTCCAGGATGAGGCTTTTTAAATAGATAAATAAATATTTTTTTTATTAAGATGTTCCCATAATACAGTAAAATTATAACCTCAGAAGATACAAGATTATAACTACAGATGAAAAAAAAGAGAAACAGAAAAAGAAAGGGATATTAAAGATAAAGAAAGGAAAAAGAGAAAGAATAATACAATGAAAAACAGAAAGAATCATTAGCGAAAAACATAATTTTTTTTCCACCTGCCAGTTATATTAAAAATTATGATTATTTTAAGCATTTGGTCCATAGGAACATCCATCTCTTTCCTTTGTAGTGAAGACCAGAATAAAGAGCACAAAACATGAATACTATGCAGTACAGTCCAATCTTCTTCATGGTCTTTCGGGGGAAATTTCTTACAGCTCTAACAGTCCCTGCTGTGTCTTCAGTTCTCCAAAGGAGCACAGACCCTGGGTGAGGGTGAAGACTCCCGGAATCCCATGCGTGACTCAGTGGGCCTTGAGGTGGTTGATAACAGTATTAAGCATATAAGCAGTCAATACAAAATGCCAATGCAGTAACAAGAAGAGCTTAACACAAGGATGTAGGAAAATCTTATGTCTTCTCACAGGGGCCAGCCAGATCTCCCTACACCAGGGGTCTGCAACCCGCGGCTCCGGAGCCGCATGTGGCTCTTTTACACCTTTGCCGCGGCTCCGGGGCAGATACTAGCGAGGGGAGGAGGCGCATTGTGCGCCCCGACACTCCCCACTGTGGCGGGCGCTGTACTGGCTGTGACGTCGCATGGGGGTGGTGCGTGCGTTAGTCAGGCACCGTCCCCACGTCACCTTCCTGCCCGCCCGCCCGCTACATTGTAAGGGGCATGTACGCTGGTCACTGCATTGAAAGGGGGCATGTATGCTGGTCACTGTTTTGAAGGGAAGTGAAGAACACACACACAAAAAAAGGTAACTTGTTAATTTAACGTTTATTTCTATGAGGAGGAGTAATTCTGAGGGGTCAAACAAAGAAATAATAAAAAAGTGACAAAAAAGTTATTTTTATAATGACGAGTTTTGTGGCTCCCGGTTGTTTTTTCTTCGGAAATGGGTCCAAGTGGCTCTTTTTGTCTTAAAGGTTGCAGACCCCTGCCCTAAAGGGAAGAAGCTAATAATAATAATATAAATAAAATTTATTATTTATACCCTGTCTATCTGGCTGGGTTTCCTGGGCAAGACAGTTCCATGGTTTAACTCTCTGCTGTGTGAAGGAGGACTTTCCTGGCGTCAAACAGTCAGTGGCAATGATGCTTCTGAATACTATTGCTGGAAACCACAGGAGGGAGGGGTGCGCTTGTGTTCCGCTTGCGGGTTTCCCCTTATGGACATCTGGTTGGACACTGCGAGGACATGATGCTGGTCTGCATGGGCCACTGGCCTGATCCAGCAGGCTCCCTCTAGGTTCTTATGTTGTGCTCTCATTTCTGGCAAGTCACTGCCAGTTCAGACCCTTGTGAGGAACAGTTGAAGGAGCTGAGGAGGTTTGGCCTGAGAGAAAGCTGAGAGGTGATATGAGACTCACCTTAAAGGGTTGTTGCATGGAAGATGGAGCAAGCTCGCTTTCTGCTTCTCCCAATGGTAGGTCCCCCTGCACCTCCAGTGAAGAGCATCATAGGACAGTGCTGGGGTAGACCTCTCTTTGCCCAAGACCCTGGAGAGCTGCTTCCTGCCATAGCGGACTCCATTGGGCTGCATGGACCAGCATTCTGATTCAGTCTTCATTGGCAGTAGGGGGTTAACGGCCAGACAGCTAGCCAGCCTGCCTAGCCTTTTCTCTTCCATTCCTTTCTCAGCCCAAGAGCCACATTCCCTTCTGAGGAACCTTCCAGGGGCCACATGTGAGTGATGGGCAGGACCAGAGATAAAAGTAGGTGGAGCAATGAATGTAAATGTTAGCTTTGCACAGTAGGCAAGGTCTGAAAGAGCCATGATCAGACACCTTTCTTTCTTTCTTTCTTCCCTAAAAATTTCATTAGATTTTCATAACTTTTAACAAATTAACTTCAGACTTTAAACTTATTATATAACTTGTATAAAGCGATGGATGTGTGACATAGCTAAAGTGGAAAGTGATAGGGGAAAAGCAATGAGGAGTCACTGGCCCTTGACCTGCCCAGGTGTAGCATTCAGGGGGTGGGACCTCAAGTCACCAAATAGCAAGCCAGATCCGTTGGTAACTCCAGGCCACTGCTGAGACAACTTGTATGTTCTGCTTCCACGGCAGGGTCTCTAGCTGTGGTCTTGACCACTCCGTGGTCCTTCTCCATGTTGCTGATCCCCTTCCTGAGAACTGGGGATCTGGGTGCTAGAGAAGTCCTCCAGCTGGTGCAGTGGTGTTTCCCATGGATAGAATACCCATGTGCCACTCCAAGGCTTTTTATTCTTCCACTCTCACTTCCCTTATTCAGCAGTGAGATGCAGCACCAGCAAACGAAAAAGAAAAGAAAATGCTATTCTGGGCTGCATCAACAGAAGTATAGTGCCTGGATAGAAGGACGTCATGCTCGAATCTAACTTGGTCAGACTCCACCTAGAATTCTATGTCCAGTTTTGGGCACCACAAGTTAAGAAGAATATTGACAAGCTGTAGCATGTGCAGAGGAGGGTGACCATGATGATCAAGGCTCAGAAAAACAAAGTCATGAGGAATAGCTGGATTCAATATGTTAAGCCTGGAAAAGAGGAGATTGAGAGAAAGTCTGATAGCTATCTTGAAATATTGAAACGGCTGCCACATTGAAGGTGGGGCTAGCTCATATTTTCCTGCTCTGGAGGGTAGGGCCCTATCAATGGCTTCAAGTTACAAAAAAATGAGGTTCTGAGTAAACGTCAGGTAGAACCTTCTGAGAGTAGGAGGTGTTTGACAGTGGAACCGACTCCTTGGAAGACGGTGGATTCTCCTTCTTTGCAGGTTTTTAAGCGGAGGTTGGATGGCTATCTGTCAGTTTAAATTACAGCATTGTGGGAGGTTGGGATAGATGGCCCTTGGAGCCCCTTCCAACTACAGAATTCTACGTTTCTATGATTCTACGATTGTCCTGGTATGCATTCTTTGATGTGAAGTGAGATTGACTCGCTGACTGAAGCTCTTCCCACATTGCAAGCAGTGATATGGTTTCTCCCCTGTATGAATTCTTTCATGCGTCATGAGATTGGACCTCTGATTGAAGCTCTTTCCACATTCCAAGCACTGATATGGTTTTTCACCTGTATGAATTCTTTGATGAGCTGTGAGATGGGTGTTCTGACTGAAGTTCTTTCCACATTCCAAGCACTGATAAGGCTTCTCCCCTGTATGAATTCTTTCATGGGACATGAGGTTGCAACTCTGACTGAAGCTCTTTCCACATTCAGTGCACTGATATGGTTTCTCCCCTGTATGAATTCTTTCATGGGAAGTGAGACTTTCCTTCTGGGTGAAGCTCTTTCCACATTCCATGCACTGATATGATTTCTCTTCGCTATGAGTTCTTTTATGGGAATTGAGATGGGAGTTCCGACTGAAGGTCTTTCCACATTCCAAGCACTGATAAGGTTTCTCCCCTGTATGAATTCTTTGATGGGACATGAGGTTGGAACTCTGACTGAAGCTCTTTCCACATTCAGTGCACTGATATGGATTCTCAATTGTATTAATTCTTTGATGGGCTGCAAGACTTTCCTTCTGGGTGAAGCTCTTTCTACATTCCAAGCACTTATATGGTTTCTCCCTTGTATGAATTCTTTCATGGGATGTGAGACTTTCTTTCCAGGTGAAGCTCTTTCCACATTCCATGCACTGATATGGTTTCTCTTCGCTATGAGTTCTTTTATGGGAATTGAGATGGGAGTTCCGACTGAAGGTCTTTCCACATTCCAAGCACTGAAATGGTTTCTCCCCTGTATGAATTCTTTGATGGAAACTGAGATTTAACTTCTGGGTGAAGCTCTTTCCACATTCCAAACACTGAAATGGCTTCTCACCCGTATGAATTCTTTGATGCACCCTAAGAATAGCACACTGACTAAAGCTCTTCCCACATTCCAGGCAGTGATACGGTTTCTCTCCACTGTGTGTTCTTTGATGGGAAATGAGTTGGGAGTTACGACTGAAGCTCTTTCCACATTCCAAGCACTGATATGGTTTCTCCCCTGTATGAATTCTTTGATGTGAAGTTAGAGTTTCCTTCCAGGTGAAGCTCTTTCCACATTCCATGCATTGATAGGGTTTTTCCCTTGTATGAATTCTTTGATGAGAAGTGAGACTTTCCTTCCAAGCGAAGTTCTTACCACATTCCAAGCACTGATATGGTTTCTCCCCTGTGTGGATTCTTTGATGGGCTGTGAGATTAGCCCTATGACTAAAGCTCTTTTCACATTCCAAGCACTGATAGGATTTCTTCCCCAATGGATTTCTTCGGAGGGAAGTGGAATGGGAGCTTTGACTGAAGTTCTCTCTACACTCAGAATATTTACATGGCTTCTCCTTGGTGTAGACATGGTCATGGTCTCCCTGGTTCTTAATCTCTGATTCATCAGCATCTGCAACAAAGAAAGAAACGGATCACAGCCTCAGGGAGAAACGCAGCGCTCAGTTATTGATCTTTGCTAATTAATGCTTGGGACACGGGAAGAACTGAAGTGAATTAAAAGTAAGCCTTACAACAGGCTTCACTGCTTTTGTTGACAGCCATTCATGAACATATTTATGGGAACCTGAGTGTCAGGAACGCGTTAGCAATAAATCACATGGAGTAAGTGAAGTTAACTCTTTAAGAGAAGAAGCAGCCTGCTCAGTAGTGTCAGGCCTTACAAACACAGCAACACTTTCCAGTAGGTCTTGCCCCTATGCCTCTAAGAGTCTAAGATTCTATGATTCCAATGTCAGTCATCTCTTTGGTCAACCAGAAACTGACAGAAACTGACCTTGCCCCTATCAGACAGTTATGGGAACTGAAGGTCCCTGCCTTCCCACAACGGACTAAGCCCCCTCTTCTCCTGGATCCTTCCCAAGCGATCTGAGACTCCGCCGGTGGAATTGACTCTGCTCCTCCCCCCTTGGTTTAGGAAGATGAGGGGGGAGAGGAGCTTGTCACAGCAGGAGGGGGAGACACCCTGGCTTCTTCACCAGCATAACTCTCTTCCTCAGCTTCTGCTTCTGGACTTCTCTCTTCCACAGACTCCCCCTGCTGCTTCCTCCCACCATTGCTCTGCATCCAGCCAGTCCATGAGACAGATTTGGAAAGCCTGGCTCTTTTCTGGCCCAATAATGGAGTTTGCACCATATCCAATGTTAGACATCACTTTGGTCAACCAAACACTAACAGAAGCAGAAACAGAAAAACCTGACAGAAGCTACTTCAACTTCCATAAGATATCTGAAGCCTGAATTTCTAAAGGACTAGGCAGTTCAGACCAACCAGGTTTAAAAAGGCAAAACTGGAGGATAACTCTATTCACGGTTCACTGTGGGGGTATCGGAATCCCAGATGCTCTTGGTGGTGTTATTGTTTAGCTCCATCAAAACATTGCAGGTTAGTGACACAGAGATACCCATTGAATTTCAAAACAGGTATCATGACCCAACAGGGAGCCTTACCGAGAGAGTCCACAATCCCACAATTCTCCTCCATGACTTCCTTATGCAGAGCTCTCTGGTCAGGATCCAGCAACGCCCATTCCTCGTCTGTGAAATGAACAGCTACATCTTCAAAGCCCACCAGACCCTAAAATAAAAAGGGAAAGGTCCCCTTAGACAACATACAGATTATCTACTACACATTGCTCTGTTTTTTTCTGCCTGTTCATTACTGTTTTGTTTTAATGGAATTGTTTTACTGTACATTTTAATTATGGATGCATATTTAAACTTTTTAACAAAACTGTTTTATTGTGTATTTTAATTACTGGTATTCATATTTGGGGGAATGGGTGGAACTCCAAATCGTGTTCTTCAGATCATTCTGTCTGCTCAAACATTCCAGTTTCCCTCTTTGCTCTCCCTGTCTACTGTTCTGGAGGGGGAAACCTTCACAATGTCACAGGGAGGGGAAGGAGAAGGAAAAGCCCTTTAGTGGAACTGGTGGGGCTGGTGAGCTGAGTCCTGGCCACTGTTATTTTATGATTTGCCAACTGCTTAGAAGCCTATTTTAGCATTAAATGATAAACTTAAAAATGAAAATGAAGCTGCTGATAATTAATACTAGCAACATTCAGGAGGCTAGTTAAGGTGAGGTGGTTGTTCATCATTCTCAGCACAAAAGCCTCTTGGAATGGCCTTTACAGCCATGGTTAAAGGCAGTTTTCAAAGAAGCCAAGAGCAACAGAAGCCTGGCTGCCTCATCTCACAGCCTCTTTGCCACACAATCCTTCATTCTCCCTACCTGATCTGGTTCCATGGCTGCTGCATCTCTGCCTTCACGCAAAGAAGGATAAGCATCTCTTGCCAGCATCATTCTGACACCTGTGAGAGACAAAGGTAAGTGGCAGGCAATTTTCACATGCTCCTCTTAGAGGTGAAGCAGTGCATCTCTAACTACAGCTGGGCCGTTAAAAAAGTCTCACCTACTGAGTGCATTTTGACATTTGTATCTTAGCTATGTCTCCCACTTTGGGCTCTTGGCCCCTAGTGTCCTCCCCCAAAATGTTGGGGGGGGACCCACAGATTAGTGGCAAAATCTACAGAATGTGTGACCAAATGGGAAAAAACCCTCCTTCCTCCTTACCCAGTGGTCTCTCTTTGGTCTCCAATGGAGTCATCTCTGCCTCAGAGGAATCCAGGCCCGTTTCTGCAAAGATAATCTTTCCCTGAAAGGGCAAAAAGGATTGGAAGCAGAGAATGGAGAGAAACATTAGAAAAGGACTGGGAGAGGCAAAAGCTTTAGGGGTACCTGATCTCATTCCTTGGAGGCTTTCCAGAAAAGGTTGAGGGATTAAGAGAGAATTTTGGGATACTCTCTCTCTCATGTTCAGAGCCCCTTGGAATATCCAGAGGCAAGTCTCTCTCACCTGCTTCTCTCTGCCTGCTTCCTCTCCTCTGCCTGACTCAGGAGGAATCCTTCGGCCAGGGCCACCGCCTGGGAACTGGTCTCTGCTCCACATTCCCTCACCCAGCTCTCCATCTCTGGTGGAAGGACAGCCAGGAACTGCTCCAAGATCACCAAGTCCAGTATCTCGGCTTTTGTGTGCCTTTCTGGCTTCAGCCACTGATGGTCAAGGTGGTATAATTGGCTGCAAATTTCTCGAGGTCCTTTGGCCTCTTGGAAGCAGAACTGCCTCAACTGCTGGCTCTGCACATCTGAGCGGAGAATGTCCTCCTCACCCAGGATCTTCAGCAGAGAATTTTCCCAGATTCCACCGCTGCTCCCAGTTTTGATGGCATGGTCTCTTCCTGCTTCTGGGCCAGCTGAGTCTTCCTCACCCATCTGGGCTCTCAGGAAGCTTCCAAGAGGTCAGAAGGAATCCCTTGTTCTTCTGCCCAGGTCAGTCTGTCCTAAATTGAGGCGTTTGCAAATCCTACAAAAGCAAATATTATTCTGTTATGAAACAGATACACGGTCAAGAGAATAAAAAGGTTTCCTGAGAAATTGTGGGTGAATCTTGCCACGAACCAGGGCTGGACTGAAACATAGTCCAGACTCTGAACTTTCTTTTTCCAAAACGGAAAAGGAGAAGCCAACATCTAGGCCAGACACCCCCTCCAGATGTTTTGGGACTACAATACCCATCATCCCTAGCTAGCAGGACCAGTGGTCAGGGATGGTGTGAATTGTAGTCCCAAAACATCTGGAGGGCCAAATTTGCGGGTGTCTGATCTAGGCCTTCTAGAAGGGAAATTACCATGCAAAATTTGCAGGAAACATAGAGAATTTGCAGAGGCGTTTGCAACTTCTACAAAGCAAATACATTGTTTTGTTATGAAATTGATACACAGCCAGGAAAAGAAAAAAGTTCCCAGAATCTTATTAGGAACCAGGGCTGGACTGCAACACAGCCCAGACTCTGAACTTTCTTTTTCAAAAAAGGAAAAGGAGAAGCCAGCATCTAAACCATTTTAAAATGGTTGCAATCTGCTATGGAACAGTGGTAATAGTAGTAAAAATACCAACAAATAACAACAGCAACAACAACAACATAAAGCCTCAAGCATGGGGGAAAACCTCATGTTACACACAGACCTTCCAGAAACTGTGTGTGTGTGTGTGTGTGTGTGTGTGTGTTGGAATCTGCAGTTTTGAGCATTTGCCTCAATCTCAGGCGCTGACCTCTAATAATGAACCATATGTTGCAGATATTCCTGTAAACTGATTGTGATATACAAATGACAAGAGAAGACTCGGTCAGTTTATCTGTCTCCTTTCTTCTTCCTAGCTTTCTCCTTTTGCTTCAACCCAGGAGGTATTTTCCCTCAAAGCCAGAGCCGAGTGTGGGGGCTGCAGTGCCTCCGAGGCTCCAGCAGAGGGCGGGAGCCTCTCTCTGTCTCTGATTGGCTGCCAGCCCTTTTGGAGGGAAAATCCGAGGAGCCCTTTCTGAGGGAAAGAGTAGGGCAGGGCCTGATCAGAGAGGGGTATTATTATTATTATTATTATTATTATTCGGAGAGGCTCTTTTCTGAGAGAGAACTGGCTCTGATCTGAGGGGAGAATCTCTCTAGCCAGAAGAAGGAGTCTCACAGCTTAGATAGGAAGACGACCCAGTGGAGGGTCTGGGGAGAATATGGAGGCAGGATTTAATCTGGAGGGCTGAGTCTGAGGAGGCAGGAGAGGGAGGAGCTGTGGGAAGACGGACTAAACCAGGGTCTCCTTCCAGTCAGGAGGGGAGAGATCTGCTAGGAAAAGGAGATCCCCCAAACCAAGAACAAGGCCTGAGAGGATCCCCTGGGTCTGTGGGAAATCCCTCAGGGTGGCTAAGAGAGAGGCGGATGAACGAAAAATGCCCCTCGCTCAGGAACCAAAGTATTAGGCTGAGAAGGAAGCTGTGCTGCATTAAAAGTATTTAAGTGTAACCCTGGTCATAACGAAGTAAATGAACAGAAACCGAGTTAATTCTTTTACCTCCTGTGGTAGAAACCTGAACTTCCAACTGAAGTGCAACAAGAGAGCTTTTAGCAACTGAAGTTTAAGAAAAGCTGTGCATGTACTACAGTGACATCTATCTATTTAGTTTAAGTAATAAGCCAACTTTTATTTGGAAGAATGCA